AGAGAAAAAAGGTGGTGTGGTGGCATCTATGAGTAGATGTACAAGATTTCATGATAGAATGATGGCTTGTAAGGTGAATGAGCTTGAATCTAGAGGACCTAAATTTACTTGAAGAGGCTCTGTGTATCGTGGTGGCAAGCGTATCTATGAGAAGCTAGATAGAGCAATGAGCAATGATGAATGGAGTATGCTTTTCCCTGAAGCATTTGGGAAGGTGTTAATGCTTGTGGAGTTTTTTATCACCATCATATCCTTATTAATCTTAAAGAGGATAAGTATGCTCATCATCATAGACTGTTTTAATTCGAGAATGCTTGGTTATTGAATGATTCCTATAATAATTTACTCTGGGGCTCTCGGAAGGGGGATCAATCATTTATTTCTAATCTTAATAATGTTGTGGAAGGCATTAATCGTTGGAAATTTGAATCCTTTGACAAAGTTAAAAGAACGAAGAGAGAAATCATGAGAAGGTTGGAAGGCACGCAAAAAAATCTTCAAATGCATGACAGTTATGGTGGCATGAGAAGACTTGAAGCAAAGTTACAAGAGGATCTTAGTAGAATTCTGAATCAGGAAGAACTGATGTGGCATTTGAGGTCGAGAACCTTGTGGTTAGCAGATGGGGACCGTAACACAAGGTACTATCATATGAAAACTATTGCTAGGAGTAAGAGGAACAAGATCATGATGTTCAAAGATATGAATGGGTGTGGATTGAAGAGGTGGAAGCTCTACATAATCATGTTACCAGTTATTATCATAATCTTTTTGCTTGACCTAACTCTTGGTGCGGTTGGGAACAAACTCTTGTGACGTACCCTAAGTTGACTAGCGATGCCATGATTAAGCTGAATGAAGATATTAGTATTGTTGAAGTTAAGAAGGATTTATTCTCCATGAAGCCGTGGAAGGCTCTTGGGCCTAATGGCTTCCCTATAGGATTTTATCAGAAAGCTTGGGATATTGTTGGCAATAGTGTGAGTAATTTTGTGTTGAGCGCGTGGAAGTGCCCAAGAAGTGTTGCTAAATTAATAAGACAAATATTTGTCTAATCCCTAAAGTGGATAATCCTCGAATGGTGAATCAATTCCGCCCAATTTCTCTTTGTAATACGATTTATAAAATTATTACTAAGGTGATTGTTGGGGGGCTTAAACCTTTTATGCAGTATCTTGTGCCCCGTATCAAACTGGTTTTATGCCTGGTAGATCCATTCACGAGAATATCATCATTAAAAATGAAGTCATTCATAGCATGCATAAGAAAAAAGGTAAGAGGGGATTTTTTTCCTATAAAGATAGATCTTTCCAAAGCTTATGATAAACTCAATTGGGAGTTTATTTTGAGGATTATGGTGTATATTGGACTGCCTGAAAACATGATAAACCTGATTATGCATGGTGTATCTAGTGTGGAGACTAATATCAATTGGAATGGGAATAGAGGTGAGTTTTTTAGACCTCACCATGGTATTCGGAAAGGGGATCCTATCTCCCCTTATCTTTTTGTTCTCTGTATGGACAAACTTTCCCATCTGATTGAGCATGAGGTGCATAATAAGAAGTGGAAGCTGTTTAAAGTTAGGAGTAATGGAGTGTGCATTTCCCATCTTATATTTGTAGATGATTTGCTTATTCTTGGAAAAGCTAATGAGAAACATATCCTTTGTGTTAAGCAAACCGTGGATGTTTTTTATAGGATGTCTGGGTAAGAAATTAGTAATGAAAAATTAAGTATTTTGTTCTATAATAATGTTGCCAATAGCCTAAAGTCCAATTTTGTAAACATGTCCGGTTTAAGAGAGGCCAAAAGCCTAGGTAAGTATCTGGGAGTTCCCTTAACAGGTAGAGCATTGAGGAAACAAGATTTCAACTATGTCATTGAGCAGATTTCTCAGAAGCTTATTAGCTGGAAAGCGAGACACATCTCATTCGCTGATCGTGTTACCTTAACCAAGAGTGTCATGTAATCTATTCCTATTTATCCTATGATGACAAATCGTCTCCCTAAGGCGTGCATTAAAGAGATCCATAAGATGTAAAGGGATTTCATTTGGGATGACATAGACACAAAGAAGAACTATCATGCTATAAGTTGGGATACGACTACTAAAGCTAAATGCGATGGAGGCTTGGGCTTACGTGATCTGAATATGATGAATGATGTATGTATCATGAAACCAGGATGCAAAGTGATTAATAGAGATGATGACCTTTGGTGTAATATTTTGAGAAGGAAGTACATGATCGATGGTAAGAATGGAAAGATGAATTCTAAAGTGTCAGATTCTAATCTCTGGAAAGCCATTGTTAAAACTCATTTCAATCTTTTGGATCGTGGTCTTTGGAGGGTTGGTGATGGTAGAGACATTTATGCTTGGAGAGATTATTGGGTGGATTCGGGCAATTGTATTAATGAAATTAACTTATCTATTCCTATAGAGTTGAACAATCCTTGGTTTGTGACTTGGTTGGTGAGAATGGTGATTGGAATTTCCCGTTGCTGGACTGGCTTCCTTTAGACATAAGGTTAAGTATTGCAACAATCCTTCCTCATACTATGAACCATGATGAGGACATGCTGTGTGTAGTTACTGAAGATGATGAATCTTTTTCTAATAGCAACATGTATAGGTACTTAATGCAAGATGAGGACTCTGATGCTAGCAAGGCTTAAAGGTATGTGTGGACTCTACAAGTTCCATAAAGAGTGAGGAGCTTTATTTGGATTCTTAAACATGACAGAGTTCTTACTAATCATAGGAAGAGTATTGGTGGTTTTAGTGAGGCGGGTTGCAATCTTTGTGGCCATGTCTGTGAGACAACTTTACAGGCTATGAGGGATTGTAAGTTAGCTAGGTTGGTGTGGAATAATCATGTCCCTAGCTACATTGCCCATGAGTTTTATCAGAATAATTTACAAGATTGGATATCCCTTAATATTTAGGGAGCTTCTCATGTGGAGATTGATTGGTGCAAGTATTGGGCTATAGGATGCCATACTTTATGGACATGGAGGAACAAAGAGATTCATGTGCAGAATTTCGAAAGACCTCTCCATGCTAGTGGTTTTATAGATGGAAGGGTTAAGGAGTATAGGAATGCCACGAGGGTGAGTAATAAAGTGTTGGAGAAAGAGAAGAAGGTTGAGAACATTCGCTGGTGCCGTCCTAAAACCGATTTTGTCAAGTTGAATGTGGATGACGCGCACGATAGCCATGGTGTGTCTGGATGTGGAGGGATCATTAGAGATTCTTCGGGAAACTGGATTGTTGGGTTTGCGAAGTTTGTTGGGCATGGCAGTGTCTTGAATGCATAGCTGTGGGGGTTATATGAAGGTACCAAACTAACTTTACAGCATGGATACAACTTAGTGGAAATCAATACGGATTCAAAGCAAGCTGTTGATCTTATTCTTCGAGTTGGTATTAAGCGACAAGGGAGTTCCGGTTTAGTTCTCCAAATTCATGATCTGATGTCCAAGTTTGATGAAATTGAGTTAGTGTATGCCTTTAGAGAGATGAATTGATGTGCTAATATTTTAGCTAAAGTAGGGAAAAGTTTACAGAGAGGTTTAAAGGTGTATCATAATATTCCTCCTTTTGTGTCTAAGTGCTTTGAGGAAGATTTTAGAGGAGTGTTTTCTTCTGGGATCATTGCCTTGTAGTTTGTTTCTTTTTGAACTTCGACCCTTCTTCTTTTAAAAAAATTATTTATTTAAATTTGGGTTAATAGCTATTTTTCTCTTTACCATATATGCGAGTTTTGAAAAATCCAAAAAAAAGTTTCAAAAATCTCCCTGTCATATGAAGACTCCATTATTTTGCTCCTTCATGAAATTTAAGCATAAAAAATAATAACATGACAGAAGGATATTTCAAAAATCATCAATTTGGCAAGGGGTTTTTCAAAAAATCGTCAATTTGACTAGCGGTGGCAAACAGGCATGCCTGCCCCGTTTAGGCCCGCCCCGTAAAAGTCCGCAAAAAAATGGGGCGGGGCGGGCATAGTTGAGGATGAGGGCCTAAAACCCAGGCCCGTCCCGCAAAAAAGTGAGTGCGGGGAAAGCCCGCGGACACTGCACCTTTTAGGCCTAAAAATGTAAAATTTAATGCTAATAATCATACCCGCAAAAGCCTGCGAAGAAAACGGGACGGGACGGGACGGTCACATTAGAGGGTAAGGGTCTAAATTTTTTACCCGCCCCGCACTAAAGTGCAGGTATAACGGATATGCCCAACAGGACGGGCCCGTTTTGCATCCCCTAAATTTGACAAGGAGCAAAATATCTATAAATATTTAAAAACAGGGGACAAATTATATGAAATTTAATAGATTATTGATTACTAAACTTTTTTAGCGGAAAAAACGAGGAAATCTTCCTACGACATAGGGATTTTTGAAAAAAAATTTATACATGGAGAATTTTCAAAACTCACATCTATGACTGAGGAAAAAATAATTATTAACCCTTTAAACTTTATTCTCATTTTTATGATGATTATTTTTATCCATTCATTATCTTAAACAGTAAAATATAAGGAAACATAAATTATTTCATTCTTAAAAGAATTTAATTGATATACATTGTTAATGTAAATATTTTTATACGATAAATGTATTATAGCCATCTAATTTTATTATTTAAAAAAAAATTAAAATTAAAATCAAATATTTTAAAGAATTCAACTGTTGTTATATGAAGGTGTTTCAATTAAATTCTTCTTAAATGTAGTTTATATTCAAAATTAATATTCTTTTCTCATGTAACTAAAAGTTAAAAAAATAAACCCTAAACCCTCTTTCCAACACAATCCCAAGACGCTGCAGTTCCACCACTCATCATCTCTCCCTCACCGCATTGCTCAGGCCACGGCGGAAACAGAGAAATCACCACTGAACCCACCACCTCTTCCATCCTTTCAACCACAGTAAGGTTCGGTGAGACCACATAATCTAATGCTGAGCAATTACCATCCCTAAATTTCATCATCACCAATGCATAATTTCATAAAAATTCGATCTTTTTCATGTTTTCAAACTCTCAAAATCTTTCCTTTCTCAACCCAAAAAATGGGCATGTCTTCAATTGCTGATACCCTTTATACCCAATTGCACAAAAACAACGGTATCAGCATTGAGAATTCATTGTCCAAGACAAAACCCAAATTGGACTCTCAATGTGTTATCCAAGTTCTTACTAAGTGCTGTCCTAAACAATCTGAATTGGGTGTTAGGTTTTTTGTTTGGGCTGGATTTCAACCTGGGTATAGGCATAGTGGTTATATGTATAGAAAAGCTTGCAACTTGCTTGGGATTGATAAGGATAAGAATAAGAATTCTCAGGTTATTTGTGATTTGATTAAGTCTTACGAGTCAGAAGGGTGTGTGGTTAATGTTAATATGTTTAGGGAGGTTTTGAAGCTGTGTAAAGAGGCTGAGCTTGTTGATTTGGCTTTGTGGGTGTTGAGGAGAATGGAGAATTTTGGTTTGCAACCGGATACAGTGATGTATAATGTAGTTATAAGGTTGCTTTGCAAGAAGGGTAATGTTGAAATGGCGGAGAAGTTGATGGAGGAGATGAGTTTGAATGATCTTTGTCCGAATTTGATTACGTATATGATGATGATTGAGGGGTTGTGTAATGCGGGTCGGTTGGAGGAAGCTTATTCGATGCTCGAGGTTATGAGAGTTCACGGTTGTTCGCCGAATTCGGTTGTTTTTTCGGCTATTTTGGATGGGTTATGTAGGTGTGGATCAATGGAAAGGGCATTGGAGTTGTTGGATGAAATGGAAAAAGGTGAGGATTGTTGTCCTAATGTTGTTACGTATACATCTTTGATTCAAGGTTTCTGTAAGAGACGCCAGTGGACGGAAGCATTGAATGTTCTTGATAGAATGAGAGCTTTTGGTTGCCTTGCTAATCATGTTACTGTTTTTACGTTGATTGAGAGTCTTTGTACCGAAGGCTGTGTAGAAGAAGCATACAAATTGGTTGATAAATTTGTGGTTGAACATTGTGTCTCGCGTGGTGATTGCTATAGTTCACTAGTGATTGCGTTGATAAGGATAAAGAAATTCGAGGAAGCAAAGAAGCTCTTCAAGGAAATGCTTGCTGGTGAGATCAGACCCGATACTTTGGCGTCTAGCCTTTTGTTAAAGGAGTTTTGTTTAAAGGATAGAGTACTGGATGGATTCTACTTGCTTGATACAATTGAGAATATGGGATTCCTGTCTTCCATCGACTCTGATATTTATTCTATTCTTTTAATTGGTCTTTGTCAAAAAAATCACTTGACGGAGGCCACGAAGCTTGTGAAAATAATGCTGAAGAAAGCAGTTCCTCTAAGGCCTCCCTACAGAGACACTGCAATTGACATCCTAAGAAAATATGGAGAAAAAGATCTTGTGAACCAGTTGACTGGTATAAATAAGAAACTTCGATAATTTTGTTACAAAAGAGGTCGAGAATTTGATAATTTTGGTAACTTGTACCAGTCAACTTCGATAATTTTGGCCGCTTGGTGGCTTGCCGGTCAAGGCTTGAAGAAGACGATGCAAAATTTTTGTTAATTTATACCAAGTTTGATAATTTTGGCCGCTTGGTGGCTTGCTGGTCAAGGTTTGAAGAAGACGATGGAACAGTTTTGGTCTATGCATACAGCGGGTGACTCAGCGGGTGCCTCACCATTACATTAGTAGTGTAGCAATACGCAGGTGATTCTAGCTGTTAGTAATAATTGCCCCCCATGGACCAAATATGATGGTGGTGTTTGGTAGAAGCTGTCGTAGTTCTGTTAGTTTATTGTCATGTCAAAGATTGTAAACTTTTATAGCATCTCACTGTGTACACATCGATAGAGTCTAGAATGTTCTGTAGTTAGTCTGACGAACATGCTTTAGTTACATCTCAGTTAAATGATGTGATTCTGTTAGACTATCTATTTTTTTTAGTTTATAGAACAGGATTGTGTTTCTTGTATGAATATCATTGTTACCATTGAAATGCTTGACATATAATAATATCAGTGAAATTCATACAAATTTCTGTCAGTTTTTCTTTCAATTTACGCTCAATTCTAATATGGTCGACAAACAACACCTTCTAATAGTGCCCGTGTTTTGGATTCTATTTGGAACTGCTAGTGTTAGATTCTCCTCGAGTGAGATTAGGGATGACGCAGCATGATTTTTCTTCAAAGCGTGCACATCAGGTTTGAATTTTCTTCTCATATATGGTGATTTAATCCGGTATTCATTATCAATATCTGTGATAATACATCATGTGGACAGAACCATCATAGGGCATAGTGATTCTTCATATGAAATGATGTCAAGGGTTTTATTTGTTGGGTTCTTGTTACATTGTGTTCTGCATGTTGACAGTGGTGCTGAAAAACTCAGCCTCCTGCAATCTCAACTTTCGAGACTCCAACTTTAGAGACTCCAACTACGACACTGGAGTGGTAACAGTTGCATTTGTGCTAATTCTTAAGGATTATGGTGAAGACTTTTCCATAAGCATGTCAATTGCAATGGCAGCTGGGCGATACTACATATATCCTAACAGGTAAAGTACGAGAGATTAAGAGATATTTGAATAAATCGTGTTTTAAAAAGCACTACGGAGATTTTATTATATATAGAGAGATTACAGCTAATTACATGACATAGTCGATGTAAGACTATTCTATATACAAATATTCTTAACACTATATATTTACAAATATCAACACTCTCCCTCAAGCTTGAGCATATAAGTCAAATGCACCAAAACTTGCCACATATGTAATTAGTTCTGGGACTTCGCATGGATTTTGTAAACACATATGTCAATTGATCAATAGAGTTGACAAAATTTGTGACAATGTCGCTTGATTCAATCTTCTCTCTCACAAAGTGACAATCTATCTCAATATGTTTGGTCCTCTCATGAAAGATTGAATTTGAAGCAATGGACAATGCAACTTGATTATCACAAACAAGTGTCATTGGTCTCGATTCTTCAATTTGAATTTCTTTGAGCAACTGTTTTAATCAAATGGGTTCACATGTTGTCATTGTCATGACCCTATTACTCTGCCTCGACGCTTGATCTTGCAATTGCGTTTTGTTTCTTACTTTTCTAGGATATAAGTTTCCTCCATCAAGTACAAAATACCCAGAGGTGGATCGTCTATCAGTAGATGATCCTGCTCAGTCAACATTGGAGTATCCAACTATCTCAGCATGTCTTTTATCTTTATACACTAGACCTTTTCCTGGAGCACATTTGATGTATCTCAGAATTCTGATAACATCATTCATGTGTTCCTTACAAAAGGAATTTAAGAACTGACTTACCACACTTACTACAAAAGAAATGTTCGGACGAGTGACTGTGAGATAATTCAACTTTCCAACAAATCTCTTAGACCTTCCTGAGTTAGATAGAGGCTCCCCCCGATTGGATAGTAGTTTGACACTTGGATCCATAGGAGTATCAACTGATTTAACATTCAACAAACATGTTTCTTCCAAAATATCCATAGCTTATTTCCGCTAATAAATCACCAAATCATCTTCAAATTAGGCTACCTCAATACCAAAAAAATAGAGGAGTTTACCAAGATCTTTTGTCTGAAATTGATTCGAGAGATGTTGTTTCAACTGGAATATTCCCTGTTGATTACTACCAGTTATGACATTATCATCCTCATACACAATAAAATAAATACACCATTGGACTGAGTGACGATAAAAAATAAAACGGTCAGCTTCACTACAAACCATACCAAACTGTTGTACTATATTGCTGAATCTGTCAAACTAAGCTCTCAGAGTTTGCTTAAGACCACAAAGAGACATGTGTAGCCTACACACCGTATTCGATGACCCCCCTGAGCAACAAATCCATGTAGTTGCTCCATATATACTTCCTCTTTAAGATCACCATGTAAAAATATATTTTTGATGTCAAGTTGATGAATAGGCCAATGTCAAATGGCTGAAATGGCTAGAAGAAGTCTAAAAGATGTCATCTTGGCCACAAGCGAGAAGGTATCAGTATAATCCAAACCCAAAAATTTGATTGTACCCATTGGCTACCAAGCGAGCTTTAAATCGATCAATCTTATCATCTGGACCAACTTTCACTGTATAAAACCAACGATAACCTACTAAAGAATTCCTAAGGGGTAAATGAACTCGTTCCCAAGTACCATTGATTTGAAGAACACATATTTCATCAATCATTGTTTGCCTCCACTTAGAGTGAGATAATGCTTCACCTGAAGTTTTAGGAATAGAAACAGAAGACAAAGAAGACAAACAAGTATACTGCAAAAGGGAAAGACGCTAATAAGATAAATCAATATAACGTAGAGAAGGATTTCGTGTTTGATGTATATCTTTTCGAAGGGCAATTGAAAGATCATAATCAAGTTGTAGGATCAGACCCAATGATGGCGAGTGCATCGAAGGAGAGTCTGCAATGATCTCAAGGGCATGTACGACTTCAGGGACAGGTACGACAAACGTTGGTTAACGATGCTGATATGTTTGAAGTGGACGAGAAGTGGGGAAGGCGTCACACGTAGGGGTATCTAGTGGGCCAGGTTCTCTAGAATCATGGAGGACGGTGGCAGATGGGACTTCCGGAAGAGGTGTGAGAATATTTTCCTGAAGGGGTTCCTGATTTACCTAGCTAGACTTGAAATGTGGAACAAACTCAAAGGAGGTAACATAGGGTGATACGAGACATCATTGTAGAGTATGTGAATCACAATGATAACCTTTTTGAGATCAATGATAACTAAGAAAGACACACTTTAGTGATCGAGCTGATAATTTATCAAGACCAGGAGAGAGATTGTGTACAAAACATGTGGACCCGAAGACTCAGGGATGAATTGGGTGAAGTGGGGAATTGTGAAAAATGATTGAATGATAGATTTTATTGTTAAGGGCAGATGAAGGCATGCGATTTATAAGGTAACATGTCATTAGAACATCATCCCCTCAAAACCGAAGTGGAACATTATCACGGAGAAGTAGAGTCCAAGTGGTTTTTACGAGATGCCGATTTTTGCGCTCGACTACCCCATTTTATTGAGGTGTGTGTTAACCCATATTTTATGAGTTAATACATGCCTTTAGTTTTTATTAATTAGACATTTTACTAGCTTAATATTTGTAATTTCCTTATTTTTAGTTGTTTTTATTTGTTTAGCTTGGAACACAATAGGTGCTCCCCTTTTTATTATTAATATGTTTTTTTGTAAGTAAAGGTTAGCAGATTCAAGTTGAAGCAAGACTCCAGTGGTCTGCTGCATGGAGCACAAACTGAAGAAGTAGAAGGACTTTGAGGAAAAGGGGAATAATTATTGCAAGCAGTTGGCTGATAATGATAGCGTGGAAGAAAGATAAATTGGAGGAAACACTTTATTGTGCTAAAAAATATGAAGAAACAATTCAAATTCAAAGCACAAAAGTGTAGGTGCTAGAGGACAAAATCGGGTACAATAGTACACTACGCAAAGGACAGTGCGCCGCTTGCACCTGCTGTGGCAGTCTTCCACCATACACATTGTCTCCCACCATGGTCTCCATGTACCAGATTTCTTGTTTGCTAAGCAACTGATTTTGTGTGATGGCACTACTTTTTGGTATGGGCTTGATGTGATTTCCTCATATGAGATCCATGATCCAATGCAACACAAATCCTAATCCTTGATCTATAAATAGAGTTGTAGTGAGAAATGAAGGGAGTTCAACTGTTCTATGAAAAAAACACCAAGAGTTTAAGTGTGTGGATAGTGGAGTGTGAAAGAGTTTCTCTCCTCACTCAATCCTATACCAGTTGATGAGTAGTGGTGCGATTGAAGATATCTCTTGAAGACTAGTCGTCTCAAGTCATTTTCCAAGTCTCTCTTAGGTTTATATCTTTTCTTCATTTATTGTTAAAGAGATGTTCCTATTGAGAACTATGTTTGTAGCTTGTACTCAGCTCACTTTGAGCTAAACCTTTTGTAATTGAGAAATATGAAGTTAATATTAAAGTGTTTTCATTTTATATGGTGTGTGGTTAAGTGATTCGTTTTATTATATGTTAATCTGTTACAAGTTTACTTTTTTGCTTGATCAATTTAGGAGTAGATGACAACTTATTGTTGTGAGATATCCAACAATAAGTGCTTTTCTTAATAAAAATAGTTGAGTAAGTAGGATAGAGATATTCACTTGCTTAGCTTACTTAGAGATAAGAAGTTGCAACTATTGAGCATTTAAGAATACTAATAGATGCATATTAGGGTTATAAGTGAGGCTTATAGGTTTGTTCTCTTGCCCTTGTTATACATGCTTTGATGTTGTCGAGATACACCACAAGATCACTCTGACCTCACCAGTCACGACACTACACGTCATTGTTGTACCCCAAAATTTGCCCTCTCGTTTTACTCAATACA